TTTTTTTTTGCCTGTCTAGAATAAATCTTCTTCTTCTGCTTTTGCGCTGCTCAAATAATAGGTGTGATTATGAATTTAATAAATTTTTTCTTTGATTACGGTAATTGTTTCATTTTGATGTGGGCGAGAAGGACAAGTGAAGTGGTGTTCGGAATAGCGTGCTTGTGTGTATGTTTTTTGTATCTAAGGGTGGAAGATGATGATGTAATTGGGAGATGTATATTTGTGTTTGTGTGTCAGTCAGTGGTAAAACAATGGGATGCGGGTGTTGAGAGAGAAAGGCTGACTGTGGTCAATTGACTCAATTTAGAAGATGGTTATGTTTGATCATAAAAGAAATATAATGTCCTTCTTACAAACCAATTAGAGTATCCGCTTTTTGGCGCATTTTGGTTATTATTTTTCCTGCTCGATCTCATTATTTTTGTCCTCTTAAACGTTCTTTAACTTTATCCTCAAGTCTTTTTTCTTTGATCTTCAAATAATTTTTTTTTGGCCACGAAATATCTGTCACTTAACAAGAAACGAAGAGAGAGGTGGTGGTGGGTGGAAAAAAAAGCAAACATTTTTTAATTTGTTGATAAAGTCATTCGTGGTTTTGTTTATTAAAGCATCTACAAAATTTAATTTACTAAAAAAAGAATAAATAGGAGTAAGAGTAAGCTATTGCATCTCCGTTTTCATGAACGTTTTTGATGCATACATAGTTTCGTTGTTGTTGTTTTTTTCGTTATTATTGGCAGCAACAGTGATCTGAGTTCTAGAGTAGGAAACATTTTGCTTTTTTAGATTATTTAGGTGCTTTATTTTTTTTCACTAGATACTGTCTTCAAGTATTTTCTCTGCAGAAACAAATTTAGGAAATGATTGTTGTTAAAAATTTTAAGCTTTTAACGGTAAATTTTGTTTCCTTTTTTTCTTCGCTTCCTATTTTTTTCTTTTCTTTTTTTGAAAGTTGTTTACGCTTTAGTCCAATTTTTTTGTTCAAAAATTAATCTTGTTCTTGTTTTTCCGAAGTCTTGGCACTTAAATTGATCGTAAGTTTAGGAAATATTTTTTGATGACTGTCTAAAAAATTTCCTAATCCTAATTGGAAGGAAATACCAGTAGTTTAATGCTGGGTATATCTCAGCAAACTTTAGTCGCACTTTGCGGTCAACTTTCAACTCACTTCATTATTATAAACCTTATATTTCGTAGACTTCAAAATGATTATAAAAGCGATAGCAACAACAATAACAACAAACGAAAAAAAGAATAAGCAAGAAAAAGAATTGTATGTTAACAAAACGATTTGAACATGAATACTTTCACAATACACTCTACAGGTTACTGAAAGTCCACGTCATTGTATACACGTCTCACAAATAATCATA